ACAAACACACATACACACACACACACACACACACAAACAAACAAACAAAAACACGGTCAAACATACAGTATGAGCATTATAAAGTGCAGCCTTGTTTAAAGCAATAATTCTGTTATTTTATATCAACCTGTGTGAGTTTTTTTCTGCGAAACACACAAGGTACATTTTAACTTAAATTCTGACCCACATTTCAAACAACAAAACTTAAGGACTGGAGCTGTTAAACTCTACAATGGAACGACACAAAGCATCACATAACAGAAAAGCATCAGACCACTGAAAAAAATAAATAATAAAATAAAATAATAAAAAATAAAATTAAATCTACTATCACTATTATGCTCTTGATCAAACTTAAATAAAATAAAATAAAAATAAAAAATTATAAAATAAAATATACTGTCACTATTATGCTCTTGATCAAGGCACTTAAACTAAAACTAAACAGAAAAATAAAATTAATAAACAAAAAAATGAAAATGAGTAAAATAAATAAATATACAATTAAATGTATAAAAATAAAAGGAAATCCCATTAAAAAAATTATATTTAAATAAAATAAATATAAATAACTTTCAGCTAAAAAATATCAGGCAAGGCGACATTTCTCATTTTAATTTAGTTTAAGTTAAAATAACCAAAACTGAAAAAGATAAAAAGTTAAAGCTGCAGTCCGTAAGTTTTGCCTCTTTGTCGCCATCTCCGTTTGAAAACCTGGAATTGCAGCTGTGTGCGGAATTATCTTCCTTGCATGGGTTGTGAGTCGGCGCGGCTCCAGCGCGGATGAATCTAATGTTTAGAGGAGTATGTGTGTGTGGCAGTCAGTCACCGCACCGGTGTGGATGTTTACTGTACTTCGCAATCACAGATTCTAGCCTACGTCTTGTAATATACAACCCAAATAAGAATTTTCACCAGATATTGTCATCTGAACAAGCAAGTAACAAGTCTGCCACGTTTGTTCTGACCAACTGAGGAAAAAAGCATTACCATAAATCATGCTACCAATGGTGATTAAATCTAAATTAGCTCATATCACATCAAACTGTGCAAATTATTATTATTGTTATACTTTATTCTCAAATTGTTAATGTTAACAACATCAGCATTGGTGACTATGAGTATAGTGTGTATAAGCGAGTAGATTTCAATTTCTGCACAGTCTAATCTAATTGTCATACTCTTCGAAAGAAGCACATTTATAACTGGAATATAATTTAATTTCATTCACATGTGTTTAATAAACACATAATCCTTTATGGATTACAATCCGCCATCAAAATAATATATTTAATCATTCTGGCTGCTGTGAGAAAAGGCTATAAACGATCGGCCACCTGCAGGATCCTCACATGCGATAGTCTAGTAGCCGGGAAAACTTCTTTATGTTTACAGACGTGATGTAATGACGCAGTGCCATTTCCCGCGAAAACCTACCTGTACCACTCAAATTAGAAAACATTATTATAAGCTAACCGTTGTGAATCGGGCTAAAGTAAGGTGATAGTTTTGAACACTGGCTGGTTATGTACTTGCTCAAATATTGATTTCAGATAATTTTTAACCAAAAAAAGTTTAACTTTAACTAAAATGAAAAACTATTAAAAAAAATGCATATCATAACTGAAATAGAATAGATTAAAAAAATTATTTATTTTATTTCAGCTAGTTGCCAAGTCACCATCTTTAATTTTCATTTAGTTTGTACTAACTTGTACTAAAAAAAAAAATAAATAATAAATAAAAAATAAATAAATCAATGGCTTTAACAAAGAGCTATGAAGTACTTTGGCGACAGGGATGTCGTTGCTGCTGCTGCTGGTGCTGAGTTCTCCGGTGCTGGGATTGATGGGACGTCCCGCCGGCGTCAGACGCCCAGGACTCGACGGAGCGCCGGGCTGAACGCTCTGGAGACGCATCTGCAGCTCTCGTACCTGCAGGGACGGAAACACACCTGTCTGTCAAAACACCGGCCGGGACGCTTGAGTCCGTTTTTCCATCTTCAGAGTTACAGCTAACAGTACAGTAACAGCTCCAGAGCTAAATCTAGACGCTGAGGTTTGCTCAGCATCTGACCTCATGTGGCTTCAGTTCAGTCTATATTACAGACATCAGAAGCCACGATGATCACAGACCTCTCATCCAATACATGAGGAAACACACACACA